AATTCTAAAAATAATAATTAACAATAATAATTATTAAGTCCAATTATTTACATTTGTTAAATAACACCTTTTGTAATTTGCAAAAAAATGACAAAAAAATGCACTTTTCTGCCAATACAAAAGAAAGGGCTCAACCGATTGTCTCGCTAAACTATTCACCGCTCATCCTCATAGACTTTCATCAAATAGTTTTTAAATTTTTTAAATAGCTTCAGTTATTTTTCAGAAAATGTCAAATAAAGGTTGAATTTTTGTCTGAAATTGGTTCAGTAGTTACTGAGAAAACGTCGACGAAAATTCATTCGACGAACAACACGAAGTCGAATTAACAATATTTGTCGAAAAAATAATCTTTGCCATAGGGAAGATAAGCTAGTGGTGTATGGCATCGCGCCTCAAGCTAAATTGCTGGAACTTTCCGTACCGTAATAAAGTAATTGAGGAATATACTTTTTTAAATATATTGTTATAAATACTGTAACTTATATATGTTTGCAAAAAAGTAAATAAACAAAACTTAAACAGTCAAACTTAAAATGAAGGACATTGTGTAATATTTATAAGAATTATATAAACTTAATTGCAAACTTAAAGTTATTTATTTGAAGTCTATAAGTGAGCTACAGAACTTTAGCTATAATTAAAATGTTTTTTATATCATTCAAATTGGATGCTTATTTCTCTCAAAAACTGCCATTTTTTGCACAAGTAGTTCCGTGTCTCCGAAACGGCTGGACTTGCCTTTGCCAAAAACTAATCACCAATTTGTAATCACATCAATTACGAATTGAATGTTTTTTCGATCATTCAAATCGGATGCTCCGTTCTCTCAAAAACTCTATTTCTATTTTCTGCATTCTTTGTTCCTTGACTACAAAACGGCTGGACCTTTTGCCAAAAACTAATCAGCACATCCCCTATCAATAAAAATCGAATTTTTTAAACCATGCAAATATATATACATATATGTATATATATATACATATATATACATATATATATATATTTTAATTTTATATACATCATATATGATACGAGAAGCCCTCCTTGAAAAAATATAAAAAGTGTGTTGACAAATTTCATCAAAAGTAGTCGCACGTAATCAGAATTGTAAAATAATTGATAATTAGTACATTTTTTTAAATATATGTATATATATGCTTATTATATGTAACGCTTAATGAAGTAATTAATCGAAATTGAATAAAAACATATTTTGATTTAAATATAGCGTATTTAAAGTTGTAAAAATATCAACGAACAAAGATACTAATTTAAAAATAAATATGAGATAAGCTGTACATGCGGAAAAGATATATCTACATATCTATTACAATAAATGTATGTGCATATCGCATACAAGCAATTTAATCTGTAATTGATAAAAACCAAAAAAAAAGCTCTTACATTCAAAATATTGCTCTCTAAAATAACGAAGCAAGAAATAAACTAAAGAATAATAAATAACACTGATTCTATTTTCAACAGTTATTTTAGAAGAACAATCGTATTCAATTAAGTATAATCTACAATTTATGATAAAATATCACAAAAATATCACATTCATGGGCCAATTCTGACGTCAAATATACCAATGTTATGGCAAGGCTATGTTACACTTCGTTTTTAATATAAAATAGTAACTAGTGATGCATGGCATCGGGCCTTAAAACAAATTGTTGAAACTTCCCGTATCGTAATTAAACATTTTTAAAAGCTCAGGAAAGAAAAATTGGATTTTTTTCCAGAATTTGGAATTTTTTTGAACAATTTTGAAAACATTTGAAAAAGTTGAATATTGAAAAAATTAGTATAATTGCTTCTTTTGAAAATACTTATATTTTTTGAAAACTCAGAAAATTTTTGAAATCTGATTTTTTATTTTAAAATCTTAAAAATTTTGAAATTTCTTGAAAGTTTTTGATACCCATTTTGTCGGTTGATCCAGACTGTCCAAAATATCTGATTTTCGACCGCAAAATGGCAATTGTTTAAACTTTTTTTCTAGATCACTGAAACCGCTGGACCTGTCATTGCAAAAATTCAATCAATTTTTCAATATGTCAATACAAGTGGAATGTTTTTCAAATCATTCAAATCGAATGCTTTGTTCTCTCACAAACTTAATTCTCATTTTCTGCACTTTTTGCCTCGTATCATCGAAACAGCTGAACCAACTGATGCCAAAAACCAATCAGCACATCTGCTTATGAATATGAATCGAATGTTTTTTTAATAATTCAAATCGGATGCTTTTTTGACGTTTGTGCGTTTTCTTAGGCTTTATATCTGAAACGTCTAACTGCACAGCAACCACATAGCATGTTGACAGGTTTCAGTACCATTTTATATGAAAAACGCAGCGTAACATAGCCTTTTCTTGACATAGGTCTAGTTTACGGCAGAATTGGCCCATAAAAATACGAAGCAATTCGCGTGAACAAAAGTTGGTCATAATTCAAAGAAATTGCTCGCTTGCTTAATATTTCAATTCAGTTTAGAGAAAGGTTAAAAAGAATATATATATTGTAAACTTATAATTAGGGTTAATTTCGTGAGAAACATAATTATAGATATGTGTATGTGAGTATGTAACATCATGAATTTAACCCAAAATAAAAGACAAAAAATCTGTTACACATACTTATTCAAAATTTGGACTCATTCGATTCAGAATGGCTTGAAACGTCGAGAAAATATAAAATTGGCGAATCGAATTTTTTTTATGAAAACGGGGAGTTAAAACTATTTGTGAACTATTTTAATTGATTACGTTTGTGACTGTATAATATTATACAAAATAGCCTAATGATCAGATTGTAAAATATTATTATAAAAATCGTAACATTAAAAATTTGTTTTTATATAAACAATTTGCGTTGTCTTACTAGTGTATAAATATTTGGAAATCCAAAGAGCGATGAAATGTTTTCCAAAATGTTGAATAAATTTTTAAACGAGTTGATGCTTATTATGTTATAAAAAATATTTTAAAATATTTAGCATATTTCAATACAGAACAATCAGAACATCCGGATTAATTGTAATATAAAAACCACTGAAACCAATAACTAATGAAATGAAATATTCTGATGTCATTATCCAAGTATTATATCATTTTAAAACATTCATTAACCTACGCAATACTATCGGCGAAAGTCAGCTTCATTTTACATACATTTTAAGGTGATAAGGTATCTGAGAATATATTAATTAATCAATTTAAAAATATATTCATTATTTTCAGATAGCACGAGACACTGATATTGGAATCGCGCATCTGTGCTGTGCGATTGATTCGACACGAATTCAATGTTTTGATTAAAACGGTTGTAAATTGAAATGTAAATATTTTCGATTCTATTTTCAACCAATGGAACACATTTGTAAAATATTATAATAGCGATTATTATTTAATGGTTTATACTCATTTTTCACAAATGTATGTTTAGAATTCCATTCTAAACCTATCGTTTTTTATTTATTCAATTTTAAAATCTAAAGTGTAGTAAATAAAGCTATTTAAATAAATATTTTTTCTTGCAAGTTTTCTGCTTTCTAGATATATATCAAAATGACTTAAAATTGAGTGATTAAACATATATATAGAAGCAAAGAAAATTATATTTAAATTATATTCATATACAAAAAATGAACATTCTAATTAAAAAACAAATTTAAGGTAACTGATCATTTTAGTCCAAAATATATATGAAATTAGTAACAATTTGTGTACAGTATCTAGTTAGAAAAGAGCCCGTTAAAGCATAAACTATTTAGAAAGTGTACTTTATATTAAAATACAGCTAATTATATATTTGTTATTAGAGTAGCATTTTTTAAATTAAAATAATAAATCTTCGAAAACTGAAGTTTTAAAACATGCCTGAGGTTTTATTGCGATAAAATAATTATATTATTACACAAAAATTATATTTGAGTTGGCAAAAATTGATTTTATTATCTAACTCTATTAGATCATTCAAACTGATTAAATTTTATTCTTCTTAATTTTATTTTTATTTTATATGAATATTTTTAAACATTGGATATTAAACTGCATACATTGAATTATCAATTTATTAAACATGAGCCCATCACATTCAAAATGTTAAATGAAATTAAAGTACAATAAAAGAGCTTTCAGTGACAATTATGTATTTAAATACGATGTGTAAAAGACCTCATAAAAACTCTTATAATATAATAATGAATACACAAATAATATAATAACCATTATTTATAATAAAAATCAAGACAAATTATTAGGTGATATTTCTACACCTATTTGCTATTTTATTACTATGACAAGCAAGAACCTATTAATTATCAAAAAAACTTATTATTGTTTATATTTTATATCAGTATAAAATTATAAATTAAACTGCGATGTAATCACGATGTTATAAATAGCGAGTATTTTAGCAAAGAGTCATTTGTTTTTTTAATAATATTCTAAAGAAACCAAAATTTTCTATCATTTTATGACATCGAACAATATCCCAGAGTTGACCCCGGCCGTGAACCCACGATGATGAGCAGTCAAAATAAAACTCGAAAACGTTAGCTAATATTGTATGAAATCAATGTAATAAAATAAATAGTTGCACGTGTAATAAAATTAGTAGAATGAATATGCAATTTTATAAAATGATTGATAACAATAATAGCATTGTTAATAGTTTTATTATGTGGAAGCAATTTTTAATGAATTGTCATAATACTTTTTTACTACTGATTAAGCCCAAGAAAAAGCTTCAATCCTTATATTTATTGTTCAAGGAAAAGAATAATAATGACCAAAATTTTGGGACATTGAAGTTAGTACATTTAGATTATCGCGCATCTATTTCCTTATAGCAGTTTCAAAAAGAATCTTCAACCCTTACTGACTATTCAAGATTCACGAGATGATAACATTTTACCGATTTACACATTTGGATTATAAAAATAAACACATCATTAATTGCATGCATTTCAAAAGTAAAATTATGGATTACCTGGATTTGTATAATGTCCATTCTTTCGTCCGCGTTGCTCCCTAAATAAGTAAACGTAACCGACCAGTCCGCAAACAATGATAGTCAACGGCTGCAACAACCACGTAATAATATCCACTTCGATCTGCATTCCGTGTAACAGTTATTCAATATAACAGTCAATATAAATTGTTCAATAATATTTTTTCTAAAATCACCATTAATAAATCACATTAGTTAATAAATAACAGTTTGTCATTAAATGGATAGGATATATTAACCGGCGCGTTATTAAGGCACACGTGCTAGACGACAGCCGACCATGGCAGCGTCGACTTTCGAACTGACGAACTGATGCGATATCTGCAACGAGAGCATTTTGAAGTTTATTAAAAAATTCAAATCGGACGCTTACAGATAACTGGATGATATATATATATATATATATATATATATATATATATATATATATATATATATATATATATATATATATACGAGTATGTATATTATGTATATATATATTTGCAAAATCAGTTTTGCCGCCTTAGATTCCAATCCCCGAAAAAGTAAACGAATGAAATCAATTATCCGGCTGCTTATCTGTCAGTTCTTACACCTTGTTATTTTGATCGTTTCAATGAAATATCCTTTTCATTAAATTATTGTTATGTTGAAATTGATTATAATGATTATTTACTTACCGTGGGTCAAGTTATAGTAATCGCAAAAACGGGTCCGACAATAGTTTCAGAGGTTTCCGAACATTTTGGCCTTATTATTAGAAAAAATGGATGTATATGTTTGTATGTGTGCAGATACAAATTTTCGCCGACGATTTTGGAAACACGGATCAATTGATTTGAACAATTCAAAAAACATAGGTATTGATGGGGAGACGTACTGATTAGATTTTGGCAAAAGCAGGTCCAGTCGTTTTGAAGATACGGAGCAAAAAATGCTAAAAATATTAATCCAGTTTTTGAGATAATGGAACGTCGGATTTGAATGATTGAAAAAACATTATATTGACGAAACGAAGAACTGGCTAAATTTTTCAAAACTTTGCTGGAACTCGGTGCGGCAAGTTCCAGCAATTTGCCAATTTGCCTTCAATCATGTAAGAGATCTTAAAATAAATGTTTGGGTCAAGTTTTCTGTAAAATTAATAAGACTTAGTACATATTTCAAAATTTTCACGAGTTTGTCTCGCCCGTGACCATGCTTTCTCACTTTTATCTTTTCAGCAAATAATTACTCATTTTAACTTTTTGCGTATTTATATTTTAATTGGGGCACGCATATATAACAAAAGCAAAGTATTTAAGAATATTTATACACTTGATGTTTCTTGAACATTGAAGCAATAACTATACAATAAGTACTTAGACATAACAATGAACAATAAATACTTGAAAACAAGTATTCTTATTTTATAAAATAAGTTGTTTTGCTGCAAATTTCAATATAATATTATCTTACAATTACGAATTTTTCATTATGCTTAATTTTGTCTATATTTGGGCAAAAATATTAAATTTTTACTTAGAAAACAAGCAAAAAAATATTTTTTTAATTAAGAACAGCTATAATAAAATTCATAATAGATATAAATGTAATCATTGATCATTAATTAATAGGTCGAGAAAAAAACTTTCTGCGAAAGTGTCGAAAAGAAATTTTTCTTTAATATTTCCGAATAAGTAATATATAATTCAATACATATTCAAAAAAAATAATGATGATGATTATTGAATGATAAAATAGTTTTTTTTGTCTATTGGATTGCATGAACTTTTAAGTCTGTCACTAGTATGAGAACTATATTTAGGCAATGTAGATAATCTATTTCTGTTGATGTATAATTAGTTTTGTATTCAGTAGAATTTTTACGATTATTATAGACGATATATAGAAGTAGTTTGACTACAAATGATCCGACCGTATATTAGAACATAATATAGATAGTATTGTTATTGAAAAGCATTAAAATTTCCTAAAGTTTTCAATTAAGAATTAAATAACTTATTACCTTGTAACTTTTACCAGCACTTGACAATTTTTACGATTAATATCGACATAGACAAACGTCCCCCGGCTCCTCTAATCATGTGTATTAGTACCCTTATAACCCATTCAGCCGACCGACGAAATCTTCAAGTGTGACCTCTGAAACCTTTACATTTACATTAATCATAAACAAAATATTATTTACGTGAAAATTATCACAGATTAACCTTTCAACTTGCAATAGATCATTTTGATGAAGCATGTTAGGTAATTTTATAAAATGTAATTATTGAATATATATCAGGGCCGGTCCTGGGGTCCTTAGCGCCCGCATGCAACTTTTTTTTTGGCGCCCTTCCCCCCATTAATTTTACATGTTTTAACACTTTATAATTTAAATTATATAAATATTCACATATTTTTTAAAAATTAATGTTTAATTATTCTGGATTTAGTACGCAAAAAATTAGGTATAATATAAAAGCGTATAAAATACATTAATTTTAAATTTATTTAGAAAATCGAAGGAATTCGGGGGTTGATTACAATCAAATATTTTTAAATTTTCAATTATTTTTAACGTATGTGCAATATTAATATTTGGGTTTTAAAACATTTTACTTAGTTATTATGCCATTTATTATTCTATTGAGCAAATCATGCTAAGAGGACTAAAAAAAACTTAAACTCATAACACTCGTATTTCATGTTGGATTTTTTAAATTTTAATTTGATTTAATTTTTCATTATTTACAATATTCAAAATTGCGTCGTAAACCTTTCCTGAATGATATCGTAAGAGCCGAATTGTATTCATCCTTGCTCTCCCGTCATATTCAGAGTATCAGTCTGTTGTTTTAAAGTTAAATTTTTAACGTATTTTTAAAGTATTGTCCAAAAATCAGTAAAAAATGCAAAGAAATTTCACATTTCTTGAACTATATTGAAAAAATAACTCAAAAATCAAAAATCTCCTTAGTTAGTTATTGTCGGCCTCTCTCATAGTCCATGTCTCTGATCTGTACAGGACTATGCTCTAAACATAACACTTTATAGGCCACTTTCGAAAGTCGAGTCAGTTTGCTCAAGCGTTCTCTTCTTCGTGAATGCCGCCTTGGCGCTCGCTATACGTGCCCTGACCTCTCTCGTGCAGTATCCGTTTCTGGTCAGGTTGCTTACCAAGTATTTGAAATGATCCACCTCTTCCATTTCTCGATTTCTTTCCATTATCCTCAGGATCTCATTTGGTTTGATATTGTCATCACTTTTTATTTGTCGATGTTGATCTCCATTCCGTATATTCAACCCAAAGATACTGCTCATCATGCTTTGTAGCTCGGTTTCGTTTTCGATATCATCACGACATCATCTGAATACTTTATGGTGATAATTTTTAAATTCCCATAGAGTAATTGCGAAAAATTCAAAATGCATTTTTTATATACCTTTACGTTTCAACGGTTTCTGAACATTTTGGCATACCTTACGATTAGAAAAAATGTGTGTGTGGATCAAAAAACATTTTATTCCTATTGAGACGTGCTGGTTAGTTTTTGACCAAGGCAGGTGCAGCCGTTTCGAAGATACAGGGAAAAAAGTGCCAAAAATGGTAATTCAGTTTTTGAAAGAACAGAGCGTACGATTTTAATAATTCAAAAATATTTTACTTGTATTGATAAAATAAAGAACAGATTGAATATTTGGGAAAGCAAGTCTAGAGGTTTCGGAAATAAAGAGAAAAAAATAAAAAACATTTACGGTCAGTATAAATTTTGTTTGCGTTTCCGTACCGATGTTTATCCGTTGGTCTGGGACACAGCGCTTACACGTTTCGATATTTCTTCTCTAAAAAGCCACACAGCACTATTGCTTTAAACAAAAAGTTCAAAATGTTCAAAAAAATTGATTTTAAAAACGTCTAAACTTTTGAAAAAATACAAAATTCTCAAAAATCTCATTTTTCCAAAGTTTTTTTAAAAAAATAAAGCTTTTTTAAAAAAATTAATTTTTAGTATGGAAAGTTCCAGCAATTTGCCTTAAGGCGGGATGCCATGCACTACTACTAGGTTCTTCCTGTGATCAAAAAATCTCCTGCGACTTCAAGTTGACGAGCCATATCCTCCGTGCAGGTTGAATAGTTTCGGTGACATGCAGCATCCTTACCGAACTCTTCTACCTATTTCAACGCTGTTTGTATTGCCCTGGTTCACTCAAATCCTAACTTTCTGTCCCATATACATTTATATGCAGATTCTGGATCAGCCTGCGGTCTTTCCAATCGATGCCAATAGATTTTAATGTTCCCATAAGTTTACTCCAGTTGACTCTGTCAAAGGCAAATATATATATATATATATATATATATATGTGTGTGTGTGTGTGTGTGTAATAATTTTTTTCAGTTGGTAAGAAGTTTTTTTAACAAGCACCCGCCCACATAATAGAAAGAAAACCAGATTATATTTCTATTTAAAAAAAATTATAATATACTTTCATACATTTTGAGTACCAGTTGACTATTCTTTAGTAGATAATACTATTATAGAAAAAAACACTAATAATAAATTGATTATTATATTGTATTGATTGATTCAGAGCGCTAATAAGCAAGGATATCTTAACAAGTAATTAATTATTAGGAAAAGATGGAAAGTATATAAAAATAAAACTAAACATTAATTTCAGTTAAAAAAAATAATGGAAGCATATGTATACTTTAAAAATAAATAAAATTATAATTCAGTTGTTGATAAGTAGATAAGAAGCAAATAACATCTCTTACTTTCGAACTCATGCCAAAAATTGAATTATTTTCAACAAATTAGTTCATAATTTCAATCATTGTAGAGAAACTCAGTTGAAAGTTTTTTTTGTACTTCATCGAAATCACTATTTTCAATATTTTTGTTGAATTCTTCCGGAGTTAATTGCGTCGGGTAATCATTTTTATACAAAGACTAATTGCTTAAAGAACTAATATGCGACATACTACATATTTACCTCATATAAGCCATTTTGTTTAGGTAAATTCATTATTTCTCTGAGTCCATCCATATTACGAGCAGAAAGTGGAAAAGAGAGCCCTGAACCAAATCAGTGCTGAACGAAACATTGTTGTGAGAAGTATTACAGTATATATAATATATATATATATATATATATATATATATATATATAAGCTTCTCTGGGGCTTATGGCTTAACCAGGAGCCATTCGTTGCCATAGTCAGTTTGTGGGAATGTCTGAAGAAGTGGAACATTCGCAAAGAATCTGCATGAAACTACAGATTACATGATTTCTCATCACAAGCTAGAGCCCTTTAAAATTCAGAGATATACAAAATAATCATAATAATTTTCTGCTGTGAGAGAATTTGTACAAGAAATTCATCTTTCATTCAGCATCCTTATATACTACATAAATTATGCTAATTCCATTTGCAATCAATTTTTGAACACAATATAGAAATGAATTATAGTATTATATACTATAATTGCATAACGATAAAAAAAGTACAACAAAATCATAAAATTGTTCAACAATTTATTATAAAAAATCAGCAAAGATTTTGATACAAATATCAAACAAAATTAGCAATAATTTAACTAATTTGTTTTCTTCACATCCTCTTCCTCAATAGCTGCTGCTGGATCATCAGATCTACTAGCATCAACAGGGTACAACCTAATAAAGAAATTCAGATAATATATTGTTTTTGTATTGATATACAGTAGAATCGGCTTAGTATGATGATGAATATATTAACCGAACGCTAATTATGACGTATTCATACTGCAAAATTTGGTTTTCATATAAAATTCCATATCAAATAGTTGGATATAATGACATCCTTTACGTATATACATTGCTTATAACGACCCATGCTTTCAAAAAATATGTCCATTTTAATGACCAATATGATTTCACACCTACTGAAACTGGGGGGGAAGGCAACAAAGGTTTTTGTGCTCATGACTACTGCCCCCTTTAAAGACTGCTTTTTACCGCTTTGCTTTGTACTGTTCTTGTAGTTAAATTATTAACTTAATTGTTTTTAGAATTACTTAGGCTGGTCCTGAATGTGCCGGATTAATAGACTTCTACTGAACATATATATTTACATAAAATTTTCAGAATACTTTATACAACGTCCACATATTATGACGAGTTTTTAGTGTCCCTTTGATGTCATACAAAAGCAGATTCTACTGTATTATTATTACATATGCAATTGAAGATATACACGTACCATCTTTGATACAAATAGATTATGAAAACAATATCATCCCTGAAACAAGCTACTCTGTGTGCTGTAGGCATTGTTATGATAAAGGCAAACACGTCATCTATAAATGTATTAAATGCCTTATACATGAACGCTCTCCATGGTAAGGCTGCCACAGACTGCAATTTGTAATTCACGAACAATTGCGGGAGCATGAATAAAAATCCAAATGCATATACACCGTTTACCAAACTGTGTACACACCATGAGTACCAACTGTAATTATATATTATATATTATAAAATGCATTAAAGAAAAAAAATAAATAAATAAATTATACAAAGTTTGTAAGAAGATGGCAATCAATTTGTCTATCGTTCTAAAATAACTTAAGATACCAATTAAACAATAAAATCAATCAAATATAGGCCAATTCAAAAGCAATATTGTTAAAAAATACATGTAGTTACTAAATACTAAATCAAACTGTAATATATATTTTATATTTATAGAAGATTATTATGTCTAGATATAAAATGTCACCTTTTATGAGGTTGATAAATCAATGAATAAATTGCACCACACACGCAAAGTGGATACAAAACATAGCTTAAATATTTCATTGCTTGAGCATCCACATCTTCAGTCCTCTTTTCTTCTACATCAGTAATTTTTGTATTAAATTTGACTTTAAGTACTTTTCTAGCCTTCCAGAGCTAATAATAAAAAATCATAACTTATTTATAAGATATAAAAAGTAAGTAATGCTGACAAATAGCACACTTAAAGTATGAGTAAAACATTGTCAGAAATATCAATAAAAGCATACATAAAAATATTAACTTATTTTTATGTATGCTTTTATTGATATTTTATTGATATTATAAAATAAAAATTAAATTAAAATTAGCTGAAAACAATTTTGTATACATGCATTCAATTATTAATGTATAAAACATTTCTTATAATATTTTTTGTAATAACCAAATACATTCTAATTATTATATCACCTCAATGATTGTTCCAATTCCGTGAGGTATGAGAATCAATAAAGAAGTATGTTCATCTAATAAATAAAGAAATACAACAATTTGACTGAAAGTCCTCCATAAAACAGTACGACTTGATAACCCAATCATATTCTTCTTTTTCCTCCAAAATAGCACATCATTCTTAAATGCTAAGAAATCAAATAGTAACTGAAAATCAAAAGTGACAAACTTAAAACCAGACATTTGATTAATATTTGAAATAGATACATTGAGAATATAATATAGGAAACTACTACTAGGTTATAAATGTTAGAAATTATTAACGATTGTTTTTTTTCATTCACATTGATAAATACATACATGTAAGCTTCCAATTAATACTGTGCCACAAAGCAAATAAATATTTGTGTCTGCAAATATACCCTTGACTTCATCAATGTCCTTATCTGTAAAGCCCAGTTTCTTCATGGACAATAAACTAGATTCTACATGTAATAATAATCTCAGTCTGCCTATAGATACTGGTATATAAGAAACAGTAAAATTTGTTTTTTTAATATCTTTAGATACTTCAACAAGATCTCTTAGACGACTACGTAAAAAATCATGTTGCACTATAGGTAAAAACTCCCTTTTCGAATTTAATCTAAAAATATGTTAAATATGCATATATAATATTAATAGTATTACTTATAATTTTATTTATGTCAATAAATTTAAAAAAAATAGTGTTATCTTACACACCGCAAATGCCGAGTTAGTTCATATGGAATGTCTTCGCCTGCTATTTCAATTTTATCAGTTAACATTGTGAATGATATTCTAGACTTTAAATGAGTCACTGGTTTAATATTTTGCACGTAATCCTTGGTGTCTTCATAATTATCTGACTTTGTTTATTCAATATTTATAAATATTATTCAATATTAATAATAAATTTCACTTGGCACTTAATTCATCATATTAATTTAAAATCAAATTACCTGATCTGATAGCAAATTAAAATATGCTGCTTGTGGCAATGCATATTGCGTAAGTTTAATACGTTCTGCTACAATATGAACATTTTTATTCATTTTTGACCACTCCCATGATTCATCAGAATTTACAATTATAATATGCATAAATAAAGAACCATTGTTAATAGTTTTTTCGGGCAAATCCAAATTGATAGTTCTAAAATAATAAGTGTAGCATCATATCAGTATGTTGAACAGAAAAAATATATGAAACACACTTGATAAAAGGAAATATATATATATATATATATATATATATATATATATATATATATATATAAGTCTGTTTTTACAACGGTTTTGATATAACACGTTTGAAAATTGAATATTTTTAAATTTTTAACACGAATTTATTCCATTTAGCACGACTTGAATTTTATGTACCTTAAATTTTTTTTTGTCAAATTAAATTTTTGCGAATATGTTCATTCACAAAAAGTATTTATGAAAGAAAAAATCTGAAACCATCGATAGTATCGATAGTTTGCAAACACTAGCTTAGAGATTTATAGTGAATTCCCTTTAGCGCGTACAAACAATTTTTACTACTGGTCAAAGCAATGTGATAGCACTAATTTAATTCTTGTTTCTTAAAAATTCTTGTTTTTCACCAGTTTTAATAGGTTTTAAGAGATAGGAACGAATCACCCATTTTTATATAAGGTCAATGTCTTTTTTTACACGTTTTTTTTTTTTACACGGATTCTTCTGGAACCAATCTCCATGTAAAAACAGACTTAGGTGTATATATATATATATCATGAATAAAAATAAAAAAAAAAATTATATAGTTTAAAAATTATAAGCTTTTAAATAAACCTACAACTTTCATGAGACTGTGATAATTATTTCATTATTGTGGTTAATTTTTCTTAATTTTGTTCATTTAAACTTTGTATTCGTAACCGTAAATAACTTTTCTAGAACCGCAGTCAAAAATAATGACTCAATTGCCCATGTTTTTTAAACTATGAATTTAAAATTGTTTGGTTTTTAAAGCCTTTGAACATTAATGAAAAATTAACTTTAGGCCTTAAGCATCAGACTATCACCCAATTACGGTTGAGGTTGAGTTCTTAGACACTCTGTATATGTAGAATGCAGACGGTTATAACTTAACCAAGTATAGAAAATACAGGGAACTAAAAGTCGAAGCACAGGACCAGGAAGCAAGGAAGCGAAATTTTAAAAACAAATGCATAATAATTAACGAAAAGTGATTAATGGTAATTTGGAATGATAAAAATGGGAGAGAAAAAAAATCATTGGCTTATGGGTGCTGTATACCATGAACCTGCCTTCAGGCAGACTACATTTAATATTACATATATATATATATATATATATTATATGTATATGTAAATATATATATATATATATATAAATAGTTATATATATATATATATATTAGTGGTGCCTTAAAATGGCCATTTTCGAATTTCCTTGCTCCCAGGGGCTCAAATGGTTCCAAATTGATAAAAAACAATTCTCTGAAAGTTTTAGCTCTTAATATTAACGTTAAATAGAGCGCAATTCAATCAAACTCGTATGGAAAGAGCATGGAAAAAATTTTGAAAATTAAAAAAAATGTTTTAGGTATAACTTAGCGACAACAAACGAATGAATTTTATTCCTAAATTACATATAAAAAACTTTATAAATTTTTTAAATTTTTGAAAATTTTTCCATGGTATTTCCATACAAAACTTTGATTGAATTGCGCTCTATCTAAACGTTAATGTTAAGAGGTAAAACTTTCAGAGAATTGTTTTTTATCTATTTGGAACCATTTGAGCCCCTGGGAGCTCAATATATACACATAGCATGTTTAACAAATAAACTGGTAAAACAGAAGAGTGTACAATGAATTTAAGAATAAAATAAGATGAATACTGTTTATTTGTTGTAACGCTAACTAATGAGAAGTAATAAATTTTACTGCCTTTGTCAATTTCAATACACATATAAAAAATGATACAAAGTATCGTATATTTAAGCTCTAAAGTGATTAATATCATACTTTTCAAATGGTTCCAAATATTCAAATTTATTCAGCCTCTGTATTAATTTAACATCGGATGGGGTTGGTTTCGAATTGACTGACGTATACAGTAACAATTGTAACTTAGGATCATGTTTCAGAAACGATGTTAAACAATACTTTTGTCTTTAGAACATGTTGAAGGAATAAACAATTGTGCTAATGTCCACATAGAATGTTCATATATATAATAAATACGCTAATTAAAAAAAGATTAGACGGAATCCACATTTTTATAAACGTTTCACTAATTAAAAACTAATTTTAATATAAATTAAATGCTACTCGTATCACATTTGTATCAAATACAGTTGA